ACAACCTAAATGCCCCAAAAGAAGAATGGTTAAATGTATTGTGGTATATCTGTGTGGTGGCTTTATTGTAATGATTAAGAATGGTATTGTTGAGCTGGTGGCTCATGCCTGTAATCCCAGCACTTTGGGAGGCCAAGGTGGGTGGATCAGAAGGTCAGGAGTTCGAGGCCAGCCTGACCAACATGGTGAAACCCCATCTCTACTAAAAATACAAAAATTAGCTGGGCGTGGTGGTGTGTGCCTGTAATCCCAGCTACTCAGGAGGCTGAGGCAGGATAATCACTTGAACCCAGGAGGCAGAGGTTGCAGATTGTACCACTGCACTCCAGCCAGGGCAACAGAGTGAGACTCCATCTCAGAAAAAAAAAGAAAAAAGAAAAAAGGTATTGTTGAAGTTTCTTTGTTTATCAAAAAAGCCATTAGTGATAAATTGTTGATCAAAAAACAATACTGCAGATAGTGTGGATATTATTCTCCTACTTTGATTAAAGTAGAAGCAAAATTGTTAACAAGGATTATTTCTCAGTGATGTAACTGGAGTCAATTTAAATATTTTCAACTGTACTTTTAATCTTTTTCTATAGTTTATATAGTAAATTATTATTGTACCCAAATATCTGCTGCCTCACTTACTGGGAGAACTGTAGTTTCATGTGTCATTGACCTTACCTGGGCCATATGACTTGTTTTGGCAAATAAAAACATGAGTGAGCTAACCTGTATCACCTATGGGCAAAAGCTCTAAGAGCCATCTTATGGTTCTCCAGTGGCTCTTTGCTCTGCCTCTCCTGGGATCTGTGTGGTAAGCCTGGAATGAAGAGGACTCAGAGTAGGTCTGCAGCTGACCTAACAGATGTGCAATTGATCTAAAAATAAACCTTTCTTGGAAGCCGAGAGACGGGGCCCTAACCTGCCAGTGCTTGATTTCTCAGCCTTCAGGACTGTGATAAAGAGATTTCTTGGTTGTGACACATTACAACTTAGCCCAGGGTAAGTGGTCCCCAATCTCAAGCGTTTTTCTGGACACGTACAATTTATGATGCCTTTGAACAGCAAATTCTAGAAGTCTTCCCTACCAGCTTTTGCTTTAATTAGGTCCCTGGGTCATAAAAATGAGTTTTATGTCACTCAGTGAAAATGCAAATGTTAGAGCACTTAGCAATACTTGTATTGTTCCCACTGTTATAAAGGAAGAATGAGACAGAAAAATTAGATGTTCAGCTCTCTCATTTTGCTGTTATTTTCAGCCACAATACTTTTCTCATTGAGTATAGTAATTCTGCTGGTATTAACTTTAAAATTTATGCCCTTTCTTTGGTTTAGAATATTGTTTAGGCAATTTCTGAAAATGTTCTTTCATAGAGATGAATTTTTTTAATGTTATAGCAATTCCTACGCTCTAGGAATAAATAATAAGTAGGTGTAACCTTCTCTCAGAGTTTAGACTTACTTTTATAATGCATTTGAAAAAGAGCAGGTGGTCAAACACTTGATTGAAAATTGGTTAGAATAATTTTTGAAGGCCATCTCATTCAACTTGCTATTAGGTACTTGAAACCCTTTCTATTAAAAAGAATAACAAAAATTCATAGAAACAGCAATAACCTCAAAAATAATTCTTGGGATGAATTAAGTTCTCTTAATTTTTCTTCATTTTGCCATTACTTAACATATTTTGTAACTGTAGTTCAACTGAAATGTTGCCCTTTTATCGTAAACAAGTTACCCTGAAAATGTCATTTTAAATTAAAACAAAAATCAAGGTGTTAGCATTGGTGTTAATGAAAAAAGTATAGTTTAAAAAAAATCTAGCAAAGGAACTATACCTTGGATTGAGTGTACTTCCAAATGGATGACAGTTTAATGAGTTAGGTTGTTTCAACCTCTTCCCTTGGGAGCACTTGAACGTATCACAAAAGTACTTCCCTTTTGGCTCAAGAGTCAGTATCTACTTGTAAAACATCTTGGACTAGAAAGCTAAATACTTCAAATCAAGGATCCAAGCAGTGTCTTTACATTCTGTTTGCTGGCACCACAGCTTGGCATCAGAAACTTTACTCACTTATTAGACTGCCTTCATAAAACAAAAAGATTAGAAGACCGTCTATCAAGTGGAGGTTTATTACTACCTTTTGCCAATACTGAATGAAACTCATCTCTAGCTCATATAAGAGATATACAATGCTTTCCATTTCTATTTGTTCAAAGACTAGTTTTGTTTCAAGAGAAAGTCTCCCAGTTTAGAGGGTAAGGAGCTTTTATTTTTCCTGTGGTGACAGTGAAGTTGAAATCTTAAGACTGGATTACAAGTTCTATTCATTAGAATGTCCAGTTTTCCCAGTTTATAAAAATTCCCCCTATAATTATTGGGATTGTTCTATTAGGTATTCTCTATAAACAGGTGACCGTTAAAATCCCAAATAACACATTCAGGGTGACATAATCCATTAATATGTTACAGATTTTTAAAAATATAACTATAGACCCATATAAAATTTAATTTACTGGCACATGTGAAACTTACATGATCTGTAAAGGATCTGATTAATATATTTGTATCATTACCATAGTCTATTAAACATTTACATCTCCAGCCTAGATTTCCCTGAACTTCAGCCCTATATTTCCAAGAGTTTGTCCATTTGAATGCCTCAGCAATGTCTCAAACCACAGTCATGACCTTCCTATGGATCTTGGATTTCCTTTGACCATTTCTTGCTCGGAATGCCAGAGGCATGAGAGTTATTCTCAGCCCTGCCTCCCCTGCTGTATCCAGTTACAGGCCACAGGACTCAGTGTTGGAGTTTCTGCCACCACTCTACCATCCTCTCCTGAGTCCCAATTGGGCCCCCCTCATCTTGTTTACTTCCCCACTTGGAGTCTTCCTATGGAGAGTCACCCTTTAGTAACACAAATCTTCTTATGTCTTGATGGCTTCTCATGCTTATAATAAAAATCAAAATGCCAATGTCTTAGTCCACTTGTGCTTCTATAACATGATACCCAAGACTGAATAAATTATAAAGAACATAAATTTCTTTCTCATGTTCCCAAAGGCTAGGAGATCAAGGCATCAGCAGGGTAGGGCCCTGTCGTCTCTCTGCTCCCAAGAGGCACCTCAAATGTTGCGTCCACTGGAGAGGAGGAACCCCATGTCTTCACATGGTAGGAGAGCAGAAGAGAGAGGACCCACTCCCACAAGCTGTATTAGTCCATTCTCATTTTGCCAATGAAGACATACCCGAGACTGGCTAATTTATAAAGGAAAGAGGTATCATTGACTCACAGTTCTGCGTGGCTGGGGAGGAAACTTACAATCATGGCAGAAGGGCAAGCAAACACGTCCTTCTTCACATGGCAGCAGCAAGAAGAAATGCTGTGCAAGAGTGGGGAAAGCCCCTTATAAAACTATCGGATCTGATCTCTCATGAAAACAGCATGAGGGTAACCGCCCCCATGATTTAAATTCCTTCCCATCTGGTTCTTCCCATGACATATGGGGATTATGGGAGCTACAATTCAGGATGAGATTTGGATGGGAACACAACCAAGCCATATCACAAACTATTTATATAACGGCACTCACCTAGTCATGAGGGCTCCACCCTCATGACCTAAATATCTCCCATTAGGCCTTACTTCCTGATACTGTTGCATTGGGGTTAAGTTTCTAACACATGAAATTTTTGCACACATATTCAGACCATAGCAATTGTTGTGGCCTACAAGGTCCTGCAGGGACTGGCGTCTGTGTTTCTTTGACCACCATATCACCATCTCTCTGACTCTAGTCGTATTGGCTACCACTCATCTGTTGATCATGTCACGCCAGACACCTAGGTACCCAGTTAACTCCTCATCCTTTGGACTAATGGATCTCTGATGCCCAGATCCATTAGTTCACCTCACTCACTGTCTTCATAATGCCCATGTATCTCCATCTTTTTTTGTTTACTTGATTCACTGTCTCACCCTCCGGACTGAAGTTCAGGTCTCACTTTTTTGTGGCCTAAAGACTGATTTCTGTTTCCTGCCAACAGCTTTCCTTCCCAGCCCATGCTAAAAAACCTACACAAGTGTTCTGGTTTCTGTACTTCCTTAGCATTAAAATGAGGGCTAGATGTGGCCTTCTTATAAGAGGATAAAGTTCACTTTAATTGTCTATCTTTTGGGAAACATTATTTTTTAAGCTTTTAGTGTTAAACCATAGTGCTTACCATTTAACATTTTTTAGCATAGCTGTGTTGGAGACAAGGCCAATTTAAGAGCTTCTCTCTGACACAAGATTTTAATCTTAACATTAACAATGCAAACCTTCTTTATGTGAATCCAAGTAAAAAAATTGAAGTGGCTGTTGACTGTACATAAGTGAAGGAACTCCAGTTACCCCTGCTCTAAGATACCCTGTCAATCTGTAGACGTTTGCGAGCATGTTGGTTGTTGAGACTCACATGTAGGCATGCTATGGTTTTGTGGTACAAATAACTGGATATATGTATTCCTTGATCCTTCACAAATGATGGATCACAGGATGCACATAATATGTTAACATAATGCATTAACTGTTTTATAACTGACAACTTTGTGTTGGATTTAACCGTCACATACATGGCATAGCTTAATTAAACTGAAGGCAAACATAAACCAAACTCTTATTCTAGTCCATTGGGTAGAATAGATTACATTTCTGGAGGAGAATCTTTGGCATTAGGGTCTCAAATACAGCATTATAATCTGCTTTAAAACAAAGAAAATGCAAAAGGAGAGAATATGACTTTAGCACATGATTTCTTCCCATTTTCCTTGTTGACAGCCCCCCCCCCCTTTTTTTTTAACATATTAACACTTTCATCTTCCACCTTAAAATCTAGTGGAAGAAATATTTCCTAATGTGTCAGAGTTCTTCCTCTCACTAACACAAATTAATATTTTTTCCTAAATATAATTATTTTAATTTGACTTTTAATGACTTATATGAGGCTTGTTTGTTTTGCTTTTAGGTGGTTTGGATACCCTCAATATTTGACTGCCCTTTTCTAGTCAAACCTGATTCATGAAATGGAATGAAGCTGAAAAATCATCTACTTCTTTGTGGATTTGAGAGAAGATTGGGATGGTCTTAAGTGCATAAAACTAGACTTTAACTGCAGCAATGAGTTCAGATGAGAAGGGCATCTCCCCTGCTCACAAAATATCCACTCCGACTCATAGAAGTGCCTCCTCTTCAACAACCTCCCAAAGGGACAGTAGGCAGGTAAGAGAAAAGCATTAAGTGCCTTTGGTTATTTTATGCAAATGCAATACCACTGAGGTAGGATGGGGTTGCTAATTAATTCTAAAATTTTGTTGTAAAGTATTTTATTCCAAGTGAAAACTCATTGTTTTCTATAGATACATCTGATGATGTCACGAAGCTCCCTGTCTTGCTTCTCTGTGATTTAGGACTGTTTTGGAATGCAGATACTGAAGGCTGGTAGGGTGGTGATGGGAAGCCCTGCCATCTTTTCCTCTGTGAACCTGGAGGGGTGCCAGCATCAAGAACTTGAACACTCTTCATTCATGGAGGTGGAAAGGGAACTATGAACTCTGTGAAGGACTTCTTTCTATAAGGCTTTCACTGGGCTGCCAAGCACTAACCTGTGTTTGGTGTTTGTGGAATCTGGTAACAGCTAGATTCAGGAATTAGGTTACAGATAAAATTGTAATGTCAGGAATTAAGAGCAGTGAGAGCCTAATGTTTACAGGCAACAGAGAAAGTAAACGGTTATTCGTTAATAATGGTAGAAAACACCTATGGTCCTGTTTGAGCCAATGTTGCAAGTTATTTTAGTTTACAGAGTTAGGCCATTACCATTTAAGTGGAGATTCTGGTGGCAGGGTTATGTGAGTATTCATTGTAGGAATGTTCTTCATTGTCCAAACAGGTGGTTATTTCAGGCAGGACAGGTCTGAGCATAATTATTTTCCATCGTAATTTGTCTTGTGATAGTATCTTAGTTGTGAACGGGAAATTTACAATAAGTGGGTGTTATTACCTTTTTATTAAAGCTTTTCATTTTGGCACCTTTCAATTAGTGAGCATTTGTGCAGGTTCTCCTTCACCCCTTCCACTCCTCACCCCCATTTTATGTGTTCAAAGCATATTGCCTAGTTTCTAGGAGTGTGAACATCAGTCACTCGACCGGCCATTGTATAGACATGGGTCTTGAGACAGCCACTTCCATATATGAATTTATTTTAGATAGTGCAAATGCACTGCTGGGGATGCTTTTTAGGAAACCCTCAGCCTCAAAGCCTCCCAGCACTCTCTCCCTTTTTAGCAAGAAATTCCATGGGAATCTGTAAGAATCCAGGAGTGCTAATGTGTATATCTTTCATTTTCCAAAGGCAGATGTTTCTACTCCCAGGATCTTGAGGAACTTTTAACACTGGTGTCTTAGGTTATTGAGTTCAAAGATGACACCTATATTCTGATCATTAGAAGTAGTCATGCCATTAACTAAATCTGTGATTATACACAGTTATAATATTTACTGTATTACATTTATAGAATCAAAGAAAGCAAGAGTACCAGGAATGGAAACACTTCTATATCAAATAACTAATGTATTTTGAGATGCTTTCTAAGTTTGCAAATTTAGTCTACCTTTGTCTGCTCCACTGTTCTCTCTTGTTATGGCACCTCCATTTTTCCCTTCCCTGGGCATTTAAACAGAGAGACAGACATTTTAAGCAGCATGACCTTCCTGAATGCTGGGAAGAAGGAAGGGGTAGACCCAGCTCACCCTGGAGAATTGTGGCAAATGGAAAAGACAGATGACTGCGGTAGAAACATCTGTTGTGTGTTGTTACTCTGCCTATTGCACCTGAGTTCCAGGACGGACATGAAAGCAACAGGGAAACACTGAGACCCTGGTGTGCAGGAGGGAGCATGAAGGTGGAATGTGTGACTCCTCACTGGCTTGTGAATGGAAAGTTTTATGATGGGAATGAAAGGAGTGTGTCTGTACATTGATAATGAGTTCTAGAAAAGTAAGAGACACTTTTCAAAGGGTTGTTATTCTTTAAGGGGAGAGTTTACTTTTATTCCTATTTATCTCAGCAGGTAGAAACTCTCCCTAAAACTTTCTCCTCTGGTTCCTTCCTGACTCCTGTTTTGTGTCTGTCTACCTCCCTCAGGGGAGAGAATAGAAGAGATCAATTACAGTTCTGTTTTCCTTCCTAATCTCAATCGCTGCCTATACCTCAAAATTAGCGTACGGAACTGAGACGTTTTGACTGATCATGTGATGTGATGTAGTGTTTTTTATATGCATTTATTTTTGTGTGATAACTGTTTTCATAGTGAAGGGACCTAGAGAAAGTGATAAATTCGTCTTCGTTGAATCCTTTCCATTCTCCGGATTTGACTGACATCTATGCAGATGGTGCCAAATTGTAAACTCCAGCCCCATTTCTCTCCTAAATTAGGATCTAGTACATAATTGAGAATATAGCAGTATCTTAATGCACATTATTTCCCTTTCCTTCTCAAGTTCTAGTCCTAAGTCACTAATGAATTAAGTAGAAATTGAGCATTTCTACTTAAATGCACTACCGCTTGAGTGGTACCACTGTGTCTTAAATATATATAAACCAGTTTGCTATCAGGATAACCATTCTTTTAGAGACCCAGGGTCAATGCCTGCCTTTTTCCTTTGCCTCTCCCACATTCAATAGGTTTAAAAGTCCTATCAATCATTTTTTCCTTCATAATATTATAATTTCCTTCTATTCCCACTGTCAGCTTCCTCCTCCAGTGCTCACCACCTCTACCTAGGGTCCTGCAGAGGGCACTTGCCTCACCATCTCCCTTATGGCCTTACCATTTCAAATTTCCTGAATAGGGCAGATTCATGCTCAAAATCCATCAGACTCATTGTTACCTACACAGTTAAGGCCACAGTTTCTTACTTGGAACCCCATGTCTAGCATGATCTGGTCCAGGCTTGTGTTCCATTTTCCTCCCGATCTCAACAGCCTTATGTGATCTGATCATAGTTCCTAAACTGCCCTGTCTTTATCTCTACTTGTCTTTCCTGCATAGAATTCCCACCACCCTCCTCCGGACCTGATGCTTCCCTATATGCATCAAAGACCAGCTCATATGACGCTGCCGCTGGCCACGCAAACCCACTTTATCCTCTGCTTTCTCTGAACTTTTATAGACATTTTTGACAATATTTGACAATTCTATATTGCTTATCTTTTTATGTACTGATCTCCTCAACTGTATTGTGAGCACTCTTAAAAACACTACATACTCTAAGTCTTCAGAGACCAGCCTTGTACCTCAAATGTTGTAATATATCCTGGGGGACATACTTTAAAGACCTGCAACAAGATTAGTTTGGTATTTTTGTTACAAATTTTCCATTCCTGATTTACTTGTCCTTCTCTTCTTCGCTCCTCATGGTAAAGTAAAACAAGGAACATCTGTGCATAATGGTAATTAGCTGCCCTTCCTGTCACTACCTTAGGTAGCATAATTGGTAAAGGCATAGGAGCTAGGAAATAAAGTGACTCAGTGCCCCTGTGATCTCACTAAGTGTTTCTTCACCAATGAGAGCGTCAAAACTCCTCTTAGTTATTTAACAAGTTAGAAGACTTTAATAATTGTTCCATTTGCATTTCACTAAATCTGTTAGAGCTGTTAGAACAGCTAACAAAATTTGCTCTGTGTGTGTGTGTGTGATCAACTATAACTCATAAGCTACAATAAATATATTACCATATGCCCTAAAACTTTCAACGAGGGAGCATAAGGGTTGTTGATGTAACATCTAAGACTTACCCATAAACCAGCATTCCACAAAGTGTGTGCTGAGGAATGCTTGCCCCTTGAGACGTTGCATTAAAAGAGAGTTCTTCTGTCAAATAAGTAAGAGAAATGCTAAACCAAATCTCTTTTGCAATGTGCATTGCAAAATTAAGGAAACCAATAAGTCCTAAAGTAAGAAGTTTTTATTTAACTGAGTAATTCTTGAATTTAGTAGACTATGGAACTTTTTTCCCTGTAAGATTTGATTGTTAAAAATTCAGATTCTTCCATCTAAGAAAAAATTAGAAGGTTTCTAGGGACATTGATCCCAGATTTCTGGTGACAACACTAGACTGGGCTTAGTAGTGTCTTCCAGTATACTTGGGATATTTACTCTTTGATCGGCTACAGTCTTCAGCTGCCCTCAATACTTATTTATATTGACTGCCTTGCCCTTGAAAGCATTTGAATTTGTATGCCCTGATCCTGGATGTCAGCAGGTCAGTCACAGTAATATTTAACTTACCAAGGGTGATCTCCACTTGGATTTTAAGAAGGCACCATAATTTTAACATGTCCAAAACTGAACTCTTAATTTCTCTCTCAAATCTACTCCTGCCCAGCTTACACTGTCTCAGCAAATGACAACTCCATTCTTTCATTTGGTGAGAAATCCAGGAATCATCTTGTTGGTTCTGCCTTCAGGATGTACCTGGAATCTGACTGCTGCTTGTCACCTCCTTCCCCTCCACCCTGGTCGGAGCCACCATGATTTCTCACCTGGACTATTGTTATAGTTTTCCAGTGGGTCTCCCTGCTTCTGTCCTTGCCCAACATGCAGGTCATTCTTTACAGAGCAGTTGGAGTGATTCCTTCACAGCCTAAGTCAAATTGAGCCACTCTTCTGCACCAACCCCTCCAGTGATTTCCCATCTCAATGGGACTTCCCAATATTCAATAATATTGAATTGCTGACCATTGTCTACAAGGCCATTCATAATCTGGTTCTGCCTGACTCTCTGAGCGCATCTCCTACCGTGTTCCCTTTACGTGATTCTCTCCAGCACATTCCTCAGATGTGCCAAGAACACAACCTGCCTCAGGGCCTTTGAACTTTTGGTCCCCTCACCCTCATCTGCTTTTCGTACAGCCATCCCCAAGTTTGTCATACACTTGGCTCAGTCTCCAAATGTAACCTCTTTGGGTAGCCTTCTCTGCCCTTCCCTGCATGTACTCATCTCTCCTTGTCCACTTAGCTGGTTTGATTTTTCTTTAAAGCATTAACTACCACCTGGCATGTTATCTATTAGGTTTTACATTGTTTCTTGTTTATGTCTGTATCCCCTTCCTCTGTTCCCTAACACTGAAATGCAAGCCCCATGAAAACAGGGTTTTATTTCGCTCAATAATATATCCCTTGCACCTTATATAGCACCTCACATTTGGTATGCTCA